GTAGTCGTCTTTTTACTCGCTCTATAGGGTTCCCGAAAAAATACTTATGTTACGTCGAGTGATATTTTCAACCGATTTCAACCTCACAGACGATCTCCTAATTCTAAATGAAGATATCCCGAGATAATTCAACAACGTCGTAACAATGCGGGATACGAGAATCAGACAGAAGTCTCGAGTGCGGATGATCTGATCATTTTACTTCATGAACGTCGCGTCGTATTTCAACGTAATACCGTATCGATTACTCCACTCGCTTGCTCACTGCAACTCTATCCTGCCACTTTCTACTTATCTCTATCTACTACTCACTTATTACGTCCAAACTGTCATTGTACGATTCATAATTGTGTCTCGTATTAGACGATACGGCTAATGGGCGGATAGACTATATCCATTCTCGACGGTGGCGTTAAACTTTCCTAAATTTACGAACGCATCGATTACCCGCTCGGCGAGGCGACTTGATGGTTCGTTTACTCGCGTCACTCGCCCCGACAGTTTACTACGGCGGGCCAGCCCCGTAAATATTAGTTAATGTCAGGCAAGAGCTACAAATAATTTTTTTTAATCACTTGAGTGGCATGTGTGCAGTATTAATGAACAAAATGAAACCTTTTTTACTTTAAGTTTCATCAAGTCATTCCCGGTAGATTTATTAACGCTAAGTGTGGCCGTAAAAACGGCGTGTCGCGTCTCCAGTTTTTGGAGAAAATTTCAGTAAAAATTGCACTAAAATGGATGTGTTGGACATTTTTGCGTGAGTTATAATTTTCGTTCACGTCCTCGTGAACCCTGAAAGCAGCGATAGCTCAAATTATATTCCTTGACAAGTCGAAAATATAAAATCAGTGATGTTTTAAATTAAATAATATACTTTTAGCGAAGAAACAAGGCAAGTTCTTTCTGAGACACAAGAGTGCGGCGCGCGCGTGCCACTCAAGTAGTTCAAACAGACAGGAAATTGTGTAGGCTTCCGAGAGATCGATCTTATTTCCCACTTGGAGTTTGGTGAATATATATATACGTGGCAAACACCTACAATCTACGACACTTCACATGAATGTGTTAACAATTAAAGAATGCGTAGTGACGCATAATGGTGACCCTTAGTTCCGTTATTATTTTGTTGTTGTGTAAGGTATACGATTTTTCAATATTTTTGTCTCTGTCTATTTGTCTATCTGTCTGCCTGTTTATCTGTCAGTTTGTCAGTCTGTCTGTCTGTCTGTCTGTCTGTCTGCCTCCTATCCATCTGATATACTCTAGCTAACTACTCTGATCTCCGATTTTCGCTTCGTTTCTACTTCAAGCAAAAATCTCCTTATTTTTCATACCTAGAAAACCTAGGTACATTTTATACCTCTAGAGAACCTTTCAGAACCTAGATATATATATGCGACAATATACTCCAAAGAAAAGAAATGAAACAGACGAAATGGTGTGCTTCTTTCGTTCCACTGGGTCTTGGCGAATGGAACGATAGTAAGCGTTATTTAATATACATATATTCTCGTATGTGTTTGCAAGATAAATAGATCATAGCTAGGGTTGGACTAGTAACTAGTTAATCAGTTAAAAGTTAAGTTAAAAAGTTAAGAAATTAGTAACTTTGACTTAACGAATTTTAAAGTGGATTAACTTTTAACTTAAACTAGTTATTTCTAACTCTAACTTTTTAACTTTGTCTTTATATAAGTCAAAATATTCCCTCAATGATTACTTTCTATGTAAGGAACTATAAAGAGATACGAAAGCTACATTCGGTAGAAAAAGTATTAGTGAGCGCTCAATGATTATTGTCTGTGACTGGAACATTCTTTTAGATTCTTGATAGATCCAGGTATATATACCGATATATACCGATCAAGGAGCAATAATCACTAAGTGTTCCCTGAGCTGCTCCTTTCGCTGAATGCAGCCAAAGTCGTTTCATTGATTATATATCATCTTAACACATTGCGGACCAGACATTTTATTAACTAACCGTACCTAGTAGCCGGGTATGTTTTCGCCTCTAACGACGCAATATGAAATACGAGATATCTCGTCATCCGGCCCCTAACGACGAAGTAGGAAAGACGAGATATCTCGTCATCCGTCCGCAATGTGTTACAATAATCTTATAATGATATTTAGCCAATGGAAAAACTTTATATCCCTCTGCGTCTCCTTGCTGGAAAGCAACCGGTATTAAAATGTTGCGTGAAAATAGTCGATCGCAATTATAGACTATTTAAGAACTAGATTGCAAGATTGCAAGAGAGCTAAGTTGCAAAATCCTTTATTTTCGAGCAGAAAAGTGAACCTTGAGATACATATATTACGCGCCACACATACACACACACGCGCGCGCACACACATGCACGCACGCACGCACGTACGCACGCACACACGCACGCACACACACACACTAAGACCAATAGTCGGATTTTATATTTAAAACTATCTTAAGTGCATCTTTAGATTTTTGGTAGCCAATAAAATGAGCAGTACAGCACCTGAAGATGAATTTACGATCTTAAATATAAGATCCCTCTATAAATATCATAAACCTAAAAATCCATGGACGAAGCGTTAAATGAACTTGTGGACAAGGAGAAAATTTGCAGTAAGGGGAGTGAGAACGCCCTCCGTTTTTATTCGCTTATCATCTCTTTCTACAAGTGGACATCGTCTTTTAACCGATTAGTAACGAATTTAACCGATGAGATTCAAAGTTTGCGTAATATACAGTTTATGCGTAACAATTTGTCGTAGACGCTAAAAAAGGATTGCATTTTGAATTTTCGACCATCGAGAGTCGTTTTATTGAGTTTTAATGCGGAAATAAAAAAATATAAAATATATCTACTATCTATTCTTTCGGAAATCATCGGGCGGAAACACCTGTAAATATAACCTATATACACCTGTAAATATGTAAATATAACTAAATAAATAAATAAATAAATATATATATATATATTGCTTTACATAATTAATTTCTTAAATAACTTGTAACTTTATAAAAAGTTAATTTAATTTTTAACTTTTAACTGTGAGTTACATTTTGTTTATGTAACTTTTAACTCAACTTAAGTAAAAATAAAAATATTAATTTATCCAACCCCGATCATAGCAAGGATTGCGAAAAGAAGCTTTGTGATACAAACAGCAAATCTTACTGCGATTCCTGTGTGACGTTGCGTGAAGAAGCTCATACATGAGTGATTTGCAAGGAACTCGCGATATTCCCCGTCGTGTGGAATTGATTATAGTGCGACGTGTGTATGTCGATTGTATTTCTTTCAGAGACGATAGAACACCTATATGCGAGAGCACGTGACAGCGACGAGCGAAACGGCGTGTTTCGTCGAATATTAAAATGATAACCGTGTTATCGGGATATTTAAATTTTCATCCGAGATTGAAAGTAATATAGCAAATGTCCTTGCGATTTCATTCGTATATATTTTTGTCGGTAAAAATTGGAATATATCCTGAATAATTATGAAATATATACATCGATTATAGGAGGGATATGATCTTTCCCCGTCGTAACACATTCAGAGGAAAGTGCGGAAATGTTTTCGGTGTAAAGCATGAATCGTCGAACCTTCTATTGATCTATTTTTTACTCGGGTGACGAACGGTTTTATCCGTTATTGCTTTTATAAATTCATACACACGTCACTGGAACAGATTGTTTCCGTTGTAAATTAGTCTTTAAAGTACCTACTTTAAGTACCTACTTTCTTGTGAAGATATCTATATAAATCATGCAGTCAATTTAATACTGATAAATCATGTCAGACAGTGATTATTTATAGAACATTTTCGCGCATATGTTGACTTATTTTTTGCGAGGAAAAGTTGGCGAAAAATAGAACTTGTCACAAAATGAAATCTTACACACATACACACACACACACACATACACTTTCTCTCTCTCTCTCTCTCTCTCTCTCTCTCTCTCTCTCTCTCTCTCTCTCTCTCTCTCTCTCTCTCTCTTTCTCTCTCTCTATCTCTTTTTCTCCTCCCGAATGATAGGAAAAATATCACCTGGAAATATTTTGTGCTACGTTTACGTACATGTTTGAAAACCCTTTTATCACATTTCAACTTTAACGTTTCGCATATAGCGCTGTCGAATAATTCATAGGTCAATGCATACGATTAAAACTAATGAAGTAGTATGTGATGTAAATTTGCTAGCGTATAAAGAAAATGTGCATCGCGTTTATATAAAAAAAAAAAATGCACACATTCTCTTTCAAATCGATGGGAGAATAATTTCATTCTCGATGTTGCATTGGGACACATGTGTCAATTATAAATTCTATCGTTTATAAAATATTGTGAATATCGTGAATATCGTCCAACATTAAATTAAACTGTAATACAAAAACATAATTCGAGATTAAGTTTGTTTCGTGATACTTAATGTTAAATGTAATTTAAATGCATATTTTACGTTTAATTGAAAACTATATGTAGAATGTAAATACGATGTAAGGAAACAAAGTTAATGTTTATTTTAACTGAAATTTATGTATTTAAATGATCTCTTTATTCTGATAACGTGCGCGATGGAATTGATGTTTTTATAATTGCATTTATTGGTCTCGTGACAATGCGAGTACCAGGATAGCTTTACAACTGGTAACAAATTCTTTTCGTCACGTTTGATAGTCGCCTTTATGCGCGGTTTATGATGTACATTTCGTTATATCTATGTGTCAACTTGCGGATTGCGACGATTCGATGCGTCCCTTATTTATCCAAACCGAACGGTCGATCGATCTTTTTACGAATACAACATATTTATAACTATTCTCGACAACTCATACCAACGAATAACCGTTTAATATAATCTATCAGCGAGCGAATAGAAAGTAGACTTTCTTGCGCGCGCGTGATGCGAGAGACTAGTTTTTAGTGCAACCGTATGCAGCGATAAGTCCGCGTTATCCCTCTTCGTCCTTAACTGGCGATCAATTCCTCTTTTCTGCCCGCAGAACGAAGAGCAATCAGCGGTGGATGAAACTGCGCACGACGGTACAGCTGTCCTCGGCGATCTCCACGATACAGAAGAAGCCGCCGCTCAAACGCGAGGACTCGTTCCTCAAGAGGTTCTCCACCAGGCAAATACCGGAGAGCCAGGAGACCCTCGACACCGGCGAGGGTGAAGGTGACGCGACCGACGACAAGGAGGCCGGCGGCGGCCGGCGTCGGCGACGGCCCCGGAAACCCCAGAAACCGCCCAAGACCGTGGTGAATCCGGACGAGAACTTCTATTATTACTGGCTGATGCTGCTGTCGGCCTGTGTGCTTTACAACCTGTGGACGCTGATCGTACGTCAGAGTCTGCCGGAACTGCAGGAGCTGGCGCCGGCCACTTGGCTCGCCTGCGACAGCTTCACTGATCTCGTGTTCTTTCTGGATGTGGCGGTACAATTCCGCACCGGTTATCTCGAACAAGGCCTGATGGTGTACAACAGTCGGAAATTGGCCGGGCACTATCTCAAGTCCAAGTCGTTTGTGCTCGATCTGCTGGCGCTGCTGCCGCTCGACGTGCTGCAGGTGAATCTCGGCATTAACCCGATGCTGAGGTTCCCGCGTTTCCTCAAGATCTACCGCGTCTATAACTATTACTACATGGTGGAGTCGCGTACCGTCTACCCGAACCTGTGGCGTGTGCTGAACCTCATTCATATATTGCTCATACTGGCCCACTGGTTCGGCTGCTTTTACTACTTACTGAGCGAGACCGAGGGCTTTCAGGGTGACTGGGTGTATCCGTACCGGCCCGGCGAGTACGCCACTTTGACCAGGAAGTACTTAGGCTCCCTCTACTGGTCCACATTGACGCTGACCACCATTGGCGACCTGCCTACGCCGGAAACCAACGCCGAGTGAGTGTGAGACACATATATCTCTCCAACTTCGACCATTCTATACACTTTTTATACACGCCATTTTTGCTTCCCGCTCATTTTGTTTTCTCTTTTTTTTTTTTTATTCTACCTTATCGCACCTCTCGTCCGCGCGTCCACGCGCTCTCGATTGCATCTTCGTTTGTCTTAGACGAGACGTTAAGAGAGAATGGAATGTCAGTACGTTACTTGTCGCATTAGCCCTTCACGGGCTCCTTTTTCTTTGAATCGACTGATGATCGCTGTGAAGTGGACCGACGAAGTAGGCATTCGAGTAATAATACGCAACGATGTAGCTATTTAATTGTTCTATAATAATGATAATAATAATAATAATAATAATATACGCAAGGAAAACATCAAGGCTAATTATTTCGAGCTGATTTGCTTTGAAAGTTAGCGATAAGCAAATGGAAGGATATTTGCTCGGGATCGAGTTGGAGGTTTAGTTTCAATTTGAACGGTTCCAGCAAATACAAGCGAGGTTTAAATAAGGTTTCTCGGGAAGTTATTGTTGAAATGTAAACTTCGTGTACCTGTATTTTTCGATAATTGCGCCACGATTTCTTTTTAAAGCGCGCGCACGTGTGCTTGCGGTCAAGATCGTTGTCCGCCCAATAATGTAGTCGGTCTGGCATGTCTATTCAAGTTTCTCAACTTTATAGTGCAATATTCGCAGAACACGGTGCGTATAAAGTCCCCCCCCCCTTCCCCCGGGATAATAACTTTTTTACGACGCTTCCCGAAACGCTCAAGGCAATTAAACGAGGATATTTGATTTTGCCTTTTCTTTCAAGTTGATTTCTGTTAAATCCCTCTGGAGAAGCAGATTAGATCGTTGAACTCTTTTCGCGTCATTAATACTGAATATCAATATCGAGCAGTACCCCAGTAAGCGATTTATTAACAAACTGTCGCCAAATTGGAATTAAATTCGCTCAAAATGCGATGGCAAGTCCGATGCCATCTGTGTATTGTATATCAATAAATTTTGTCCAATTTCTACTGGAAATCCGCCAAAAACTTTAACAGGTGTTCGTATCAAATTTGATGCCATTTTGCTAACAAAATTTATAACAAACATTTAACAAAATTTGCTTTGACAGATTCGGCTGACTGGGTACCCTGTGATACCCTGATCGATCGCGAAGTCACGTACTCTAACCTGCACTCGGGCGTCAGCATGAAGGTTAACTTGCATTTGCAACCGAATGTTATGGTGGCTCTAAAAGCCGATGACTCCTGCGGACTATGACGCAGACCAACAGGTATCTAGCGCATAATATTAGGCCGGTATTCACAATCGAATCTTATATTTAAGATCATTTTAAGCTTATCTTCAAATGCTGTACGGCTTATTTCATTAACTATGAGGCATCTGAAGATGAACTTAGGACGATCTTGTATATACGAGGGCAACTTGAAAAGTTTGGTAAAGAAGGAAGTATTTTTTTGGAAAAAAAAAACAATTTTATTTTTCAACATAATTTTCCTTAAGGGTCACATACTAGGTCCAGCAATTTTCCAATTTTTTCATCCTGTCTGAGAAATAAATTTTGTTAAGCTCTCCAAAATAGTCATTGACGACGACGATGACATCCTGATTCGACGAAAATTTCTTCCTATCGAACGAAATTTTTCATCTCGGAAACAGGAAATAGTCGCACGGGGGCCAAGTCCAAGGAATATAGTGGATGAGGAACTAATTCGAAACTCAATTCATGGAATTTTGCCATTGCGTTGGTCCGATGTGTGAGATGGCACGTTGTCCGTTGGAAGTGGAAAAACACGTTTTTGCACTCCAGTCTTCGCCATGTTTCCTTTAATTCGTCTCTTAAACGGCCCAATAATGTCGCATAATAGGCCACCGTCATTGTCTTGTCCTTTACCAAATAGTCAATCATGATGATTCCTTGGCAATCCCAAGAAATAATGACCATCGTCTTCCCAGTCGATAACGGTCTTCGCTTTCTTCACGGCGCACTTTCACCAGTCGTTATCCATTATTTTGACTGCTGTTTAGACTCTGGTGTGAAATGGTGGATACAAGTTTCGCTCATAATGACGAATCGATGCAAAAACTCCTTCGAATTGCAACGATTAAACATCGCCAAACACCGCATCTAAATGACCATTGGAGTGTGTTTTTCGTCGACAGTCAACAATCGCGTCATCCATCGCGCAGACAACTTTTTCAATTAGCATATTCAATTTTTCATGTAGGATATTGCGTTCAGTCTAGATGTCTTCAGCCTCAGCAATCTCGCGCATATTTTCTCAACGGTCTTCCATTACGATCCCACGGATTTTTTCGGTGATTTCTTCCATGGTGACTTCAACTGAACGTCCGAAACGCGATTCATCCTCAGTGCATGTGCGGTCACGTTTGAATTCACGTATCCAGAAATAAGCAGCCTTCAACGCAGGTGCAACAACATTTTTGCCGGCCCCATGAATTTCATCCGACTCGGCTTTCATCTGCGTAACCGTTAACTTCTTCAAATAAAGATGTTTTATAACAGCAGAGAACCTGTTTATTTTCTATTGTTGCGGCAAATGCGAAAGTGGCCGATTTAGATGGTTGTCAAACGTGTAACTACGCGTCGCATTTGGCTGAAAATTTTGACAAAGGTCGCTTGAGGAATGGTACAGTACTTGCCAACGATGGTGTCACTTTATGTGAATTGTGACGCCATCTCATGGAAATTTACCAAAATTTTTAAACTACCCTCGTAAGATCCGACTATGAATACCGTCCTTCACTTCACAACGTTTACTCTCGGACCGTATTGCCTCGTGATCCATCAAGCTGCCTACGCGATGTTTGTGCGCCTCTGAAGTACTACTTGTGTGCAAGATACGTCGCGGAAATGTTAGAATAAATAATGAGAATGGACTTTTCGCATCGAAGAGAAAAGGAAAATCCCTGGGAGCCGACGCTTCTTACCATTCGACGTTTTTTGCCACCGACAAATTTTCGTTTCGGAGTTGAATAAAGCAATCCCCTTTGTATCTTCGTACAACGTTCGCAAATCATCTTGTACAGCCAAGATGTACGGCGAACGACACATATGATATACACTCTGATTTCAATAAACGTCGTTAATCGATACGCTCGTGCAGTCCGACATCAACGCGATAAATTAGCGCCTCATGAGACAACATTGTTAGTTAGTTCAGCAATTATGTCCACTTTCCGCTTCCGGCGACACGCCGGTTTATGTATTTTCGCGTTATATCCGTCGGAAAATGTATTATTGCTGAAACGTGCTTCGCGATAATATTATTGCGCGCATTGAAAGCAAGATCGCTGGATGAACCGCTCCATATAACTAAATTTGAATTTTCACATAACAATTTAATAAGAAGAAAAATTAATGTAAGTGTCGTATTACATAAACGTTCGGCCCATTGTACTCGTACTCGAAAATTTGAATATTATTTCCTTTAGGCGTTTCCTAGCGTCTCGGCTTTATTTTCGCGAAAACTATGAATCTGGATAACAAGTAAATTTCAAAATGGACAAGCATTAAGCAATGAATTCTTCGGCGAAATTTCGCAGCTACAAAAGTGGAAGCTTTCGAAAAACACTTTGTGAAAGTTGCTTTAAAAACTTAACGCGTCATTGTTACTTAAGAAATACCGAGTCGTTATAATTTCAGTTACTTTTTTCATCAAGTTTTGAGAACGATTTCCTTTTATGACTATATGCTGTCCATCTCCGTGTACACTTAGCCTTTGTGCAAATCGATTTTGGAATCAGTGGTTTTGATGTAACAATTACTCGAACCGATTATCCTCCGTCCAACATCGATTTCAGAATCGACTATCATTTCGCACAGTTCAAGTTTGCATATGTTTTTTTTTTCTGTTAGGAGCGCATTAAGTGGTCATAATTGCGAACCACTGTGTATGGGCTTGCGTGGTAATTGATTAAAACAGGAATCAAATATATGATGTAAATGTTAGCCTTTTATTACACTCCTTTACAGTAATTAAATATTGAGAATTGCTAAGGAAATTTGCAGTGATCAAATATTGGCAGTATTTCAGTAATTATTTGGCCAGTGCTTAATCATTGCGGAAATGAGTTATTGTAATTATAAATACTGATTGTGTGTGTGCAGCAAAATTATATTAGTACAAACGAGATCAAATAAACTAATGTTAGAACATTTTATTTAAATATAAAAAACTACTACTATTTTTCGTCATTAATCATAAAAAAATTGTATACTTAATTTTATCGTTATCGGGAGTTTCAAGTTATTTTTGCAAAAAAAATGTAGATGCTACTTCCAGAATTATGTTTAAAATATTCGATAAATAAATGGAATATCGCGGACAAGTTTACGATACATTCTGAGAATATGTGAAAAATTACATATTATATAAAAATACGCAAAATATTGTGGAATTATAAATTTCGGTATTAATCACTGTCATTAGATACTAATCACCGATTTGAAATGTTACAAAATTAAGCTAAATTATAGCCTTGGCCAAAAGTATGAGGCACCTTTTGCATTTAACAAAAAATTTTAACTGGAAGGGATTTAAACAGAAATTAAACACGAAAATAGGTAAATAAGATGTTTATTTGATGTTTTTAATATTTGGTTGGCCCTCCCTTTGCTTTTATCACAGCTGCTATCCTTTTCGACATATTTAACACTAAATAGCGGCATTCTTTTGCAATTATGTCGTCCCATTTCTTGTCGTAATGCACAATTTAAGACATCTTTAGACGCAATGTTGTGATTTTTCATCTTTTTCTTTATTAAGGAGTGCTCAATAAGATTGAGATTAGGTTATTGGGCAGGCTAGTCCAAAAGTTGAATTCTGTTTTTAGACATCCATTTTTGAGTTTTCTTAGATTTATTCCATGATGCATTATCTTGTTGGAATATTGTGCCGTTTGTGTCACTTTCATCCAAAATTCTGGCATATGACGTAACTTGGCTTTCAGGACGCAAACG